ATCAAGCTATTTTAGAGAGTACCGATTATAGAGGAGAGTATATTAATATAGAAGCAAGTGAATGACTATGGGTTGTGTAAAGAAATTTATTTAAATTTAATAAAAAAATTTTTTTAAATTTAAGTTAAAAAATATTACTGTAAGGAAATATACTAGTTAAAAATTTTTTTATTAAAATAAAGCCAGATTAATTTAGATATATTTAATTTAATTTAGTTAAATTAAAACAGTTATAGTGGAATATGCTTTGAAACAAATTCAAAATATATCAAATCGGTTTCAAGTTGTTTTTGTATTGAATCTGAATCAGATTGAATTTCAAATCAGCTTTGGATTTGGATTTGAATTCGGATCAGATTCAGATCAAATTAAATCAAATCAAATTCAGTTTCAAATCAGATCAGATCAAACTGTTATGGTTTCAGATCAGATCAGATCAGTTTAAAATGTATCAGATCTATATCTGATTCATATTCATAAAAATCAGATCAGATCAAATCTAGTTAAAATCTGATCCGATTCGATCTGTTGTGATTACTAAATATATTTTAATTAATAGTACTAAAAAAAAAATACAAAAATATAAATATTTATAAAAATAATAAATAAATCCATAAATATATTATTAATATTTTAATCACTAATTAATATTTAAACAAATTTATAAAATACAATGCAATTATTTATTTTTTATTTGATATAAAAATCAATATTAGTTTCATCTTAATAGATTAATTATTTTTTATTTATTTATTTTTTTTTAATAGGCTTATGTCTAATCTTTATTAATTTCCAAATTACATTTATACAATTGTGTTAAGCATATATACAGAGATATATATTCAGGGGTAAATAAAAAATTTGATAAGTTAAAACTACTTTGAAGCTTATTGCCTTCTTTTTTATAAAAGAAACTAGTAATCTATTGAGTGTGCTGATGTTATTAAAGAAAAATAAAAGTAAAAAATAAAAGGAATAGTCATGTGTTATATTGAAAAGGTAATTGTGATGTTTCTTAGCAAATGTTCATCCTGTTATCTGAGTTCTTCTCTTAATGGTAATCTGAATGAACTTCTACTAAGTCTTTATGAAAATAAGGTAAAAATAAAGAAAAAAACTTTACAGTTTTAAGACTTATAGAGAGAAAACAATAAAAAAAGTCCAGATAATATATTGATATTTATATAAATAACTTGAAAGTCTCCTAATATATTATTAATTAAATCTATTCCTATTTAAATATGAGTATATTTACTTATCTGTACAATATATTTCAGATTTAATTCTTTATAAAAGAACTGTATCTAGCTTTGCAGTTGATGTATCTTGCTGATAACCATTAGTATTAGCAATTAACAAGGATCTCCCAGATTATTCAATCAGCTTGTATATCACTACTGATATTTTCAAACTCAAGTTTCAATTGGTATAGCAGTATTAATTTTTCAGTTTTCCAGTTTGAGGTTTTTTGAAGATAGAATAAAAATTTTCTGGTTTACTGTACATATTAGCTTTATCACTAAGTATTTCTGATTATTTTTTTTACTTTTTATGGTTGGACTTTTTCAAACAGTAGAAGTAGAAATCTATCTGACATATAATTAGAAGTAGGTGACTCTGATTTTAAAAAAGTTAATCAAGCTCTTATGACCTTTACCATAGTTAAATGGACTCTTTCTTATATTCAGAGATATGTCAGTGATGTGTTTTGTATCCTTTTACATCAGGCAGTATGACTTATGATAAATCTCAGATTAATATAGAGTTGAGAAAATGTATTCAAAATATATGGAGTAACTAATGGAAGCTTGTTTATATTCTTTTATTGACATAATTCTATTGAGCCAATCAGCTTATAAGAAACTTTATACTATTTAAAATTCAGGGTCAAACTGAGGTAAACAAAATTTATCAGAAAAAATTGAGAAAAAGTACTATTAGAGTCCATACGGTGGAAAAGAGAGTGGGAAGTTAGTTCTCTCATCACAAGATAACTCTGTAGTATTTCTCTATATATCTGATAGATAGTAGAACATCAGTTTTTTTTCCTTTCAAAACTTTTTTGCCATTGGTAAAAAAAATGTTTTCCAAACTTTTGGTCACAAAAGTCCAGTTTTTGTTAGAAGAAGAATATAAACAGTGTAGAGAGAGTATGCAGATGATTTTTGAAGTGCTTTTCAAGTTGGTTTAAGGAGAGTAATAAGACTTTATTAGTCAAGAAGTACAGTAACTTCTTGTAAACATTTTTTTTATGTGTGGTCAAAGGATTAGTGAAAAGAGTAAGATGGATTTATTTTTTTATAATTTAAAATAATAACAAATTATTTAATAAATTTTAGTCTTAGAAAGCTTAATAGTATAAATAATATATCAATATATTATTTTTTTATAATTTCCATAATATTTATTATATATTATTTTTTAAAGCTAACAAATAAGATTGAGTTAACATTTTTTTAATAATAATATAATAATTAATCAAGTTAATATATCTAGCAAAGTTATTAATTATAATAATATTTTAATATTATTTTATTAATTAATTAAAATTTTGTTTCAAGTAATAATTATATTGATAAATAGTTTTTAATTCTTTTTATAATAAACAATTTTTTATCAGTAAATATAGTAAAACAGAATAAAAAAATTACTATCATTTAATTATAAATCAACCAACTTATATATGGAATCTAATATGAAAGAAAATAAAAAATAAATATATGTAATATAAAATATATTTTTTAAAAAGTTAAAAAAAATTTTTTTTATTAAATTGATTATTAACAAACTATTATATTAAATAAACTAGTTATAAAAATATCTGATTTGTATAAATAAATCAAATAATTATATATAGTTAATTGATTGAGATAATAAAGTGTTTGTTAAGATATTTAGCTTACAAGAATTAATTACAAAAAGTATAGAATAAAGAATTAAACTAAATTCTTAAAACTTTAAAGAACTTCTACAAGAAAAAAAAGTAAAACAAAAGAATCCAAGACTAATTATTAATAATAAAAAAGAAATAGGGAACCTGAATAAGTGAATTTTTAAATTAGTGAAAATGATCTTAAAAACTAGTTAAGACACTTTAAATTTTTGTAAAGAACTTATAAAAAGTAATTTTATTTTGAAAATGATAAATCTATAATGTTATAAAAAAAAAATAAAAAAAGAATAAGAAAATAAATAATAAAGATATTAAAAAAAATCGGTAATCAAGTTTGAAAAAGAATCTGAAACACAAAATGTAATAAGATAATTAAATAAAACATGTGCAAAAAATTTATAGAAAGGATAAGATAAAAAAGTTTTTTAAGTTTTTCTAATCAGAAATCTATATCTTCAACAAAAAAAAACTATTATTAAAAGAAGAAAGTTTAAAAGAAAAAGTCTAAAAAGGATTTTAATAAAAGAGATTGAATATAAAATAAAATGATTGGATTTTGAGTCTTGTCAAAACCTAGTGTAGTGATTCACAGTAGTGACCTGTGAGCCAATTGAAAGAGTTTTTATCTGAACTACTAATGAAGTAATAAATTATTCTTAAAGCTACATATAAAATTTTAGAAGCAAAATATAAAATGAAAATGAGTGAATTAGGTAGAGATTTAGCTTTAGCGAAATATTTTAATACAAATGTTTAATAAAGTACACATATACAGTATAGTCTAAAAACAATTATAGAGATAGATATTTATTGTATAATGTTATTATACTTTTGAAAAGTGACCATCATTGAAATAACCCAATTGGAGTCAAGTAAATAACTTATGAAAAAATGCAAACGCCCAAAATATTTTTAGTTCTTAGTCAGGCAGACCGCGTCGCTGAGGACAGAATTTCTTGTTATACACCAAGATTTTGCCAAAGATCATATAAATTTATTTACTAGAGTTCCGGTCGGTACTGTTTAATAGGACAATTTCTAAAACTGATACTAAAATTTTTTTGATATTATTAGAACATTAGAACGTGAAACCCAGACTCAAATCACGTGGTTACAGTCGCGTAGCCATAGAAAATTACGCGATCGAACTTTATTAACGAAACATAACGCAAAAAAGCGTCGCGAGAACAATTAAAGTCAGCATTAATGATAACATAAGCTTTATAAGCTCACGAAACATGATAGTCTGAAATCCGAGGAATTACGGTAATAGTTAGCATTCGATTAGTATTTTTTTTTTCACTCATGCATTAGTTAGATAATGAATTAGTAAAGCCTCGTCAAATCCTTGCATGTATCACCTTTTCTTTGAGAAACAGTAGGTGCTTGATAGTAGATACGCGCAAGCCGTTTAGCTCGCAACAATATCAACTATTGAGAAGGTAGTACTTGTTTATCATACTTTTTTAAAAATTTCAAACTTGTTAGCATTTTATCAATATACTGTATACTGTACTGTATAATTTTACTTTTTAACTTTTAATTAATCTTAAGAATTTTGACCTATTCGTCTTTAATGTTTTCTTGTTCCTTTCGAAACAAGATTAAACAGATTGACAACATATACTGTAATTTACATCGAAATTATTTGATTACGAAAATAAAAATAATAAAATAATAATAATAATAATAAATAATAAATATTTAATAAAATGTACAATAAAGTACACCGTAACTGCGACATATTTTGCATGCATATTTCGTAATTTTTTTTTATTCAAAAACTATCGAGAATTCGTCCGATGTTTCACCATTTGCATTAATCACCGAGGATAATATAAGATATTCACCGCAGTTTTGTGCGACCCGCCTGCAGTTAGGTACGAGCAATAATGGTCGGAATCAGAATCGATAAATTAGTTCAATGTAAGATTAAAAACATTCGCAACATCCGATTGCTGTCGATGTGAAACCAAGGAATTTATGTAAATTTATTATCTGCATGTACTAGGGAACTAATACATTACGCATTATACAAATCTTGATCTATCATTTCGGTAACTCGTTCAGTTTATTAATATCTAAGTCACTGTTTCACAGAGAATGATTAGTTAATTTTATCCTCGGGATTTGTATTATCCATTTCTCCTTTTCCAATCATATCAGTCCATTTTTTGTCCTTCAATAGTTTGACCAAACCATCTTTAATTTCTCTTGCTTTACCAACCCCGTCATATCCAAAACTAGTATAAAGTTGTACTGATGTGGCACCGGCTTTTGCATATTCCAGAGCGTCTTCAGCACTATCAATTCCCCCGCAGCCAATAAGTGTGAGTTTGCCATTGGTACGTTGATATATTTTTCGTAAGGCTCTGAGCGATAAACTCTTTATAGGAGGTCCCGATAAACCACCTGATTGGGCTATTAGGTATGGTTCTTTAATTGGATTTTAATAATTAGTTTTTGTCATTTCGTTATTTACTTGGGATCCGAGAAATACAAACCACTTTTCAACGACGAGGGCCTTGAAATTGATGTGTTTGAGACGATCACACCGTCGACGTTACTATGAACCGCGGCATCGGCAATGTCCTCTAATTCTTCATCTGAAAGATCAGGCGCGATTTTAACCAACAGCGCAGGACGCGGTTCTTTTAACTCATCACGTGAAGAAACCGCCTAGATGATTCGTAAAATTACCTTAATTGCCTTGATCTAATGCGTGGCTTGTAGCAATGTTATATAAAATATTTGATGTGAGCCGTGTCACGCGTACCTCCTTAAGAAGCCTTTCAAAGATCCCTTTCCTTTGTAATCCTCTTAACCCAGGAGTATTAGGACTACTCACATTTATGATCAATACGTCGGCATAGCCGCCAAGTGTTCTTATTCCTTTCACATAATCATCCACTGATTCTGGATCACTCCATTTGTTTTTTCCTAAATTTATTCCCAATAGTTTACCCTCCCTCAAACTCCTATTGACTCCGAGCGCATCCGACAGTGAGGTGCCCTCGGCGATCATTGTGGCGGTGGTTGTAGGATGGAGTTTCATTTCGCGGTAAAAGTATTTTCGGAGTCGATCTCGAAGTCGAACTTCTATTGCTTTGTGTCCGTGCGAATTAAACCCATAACGGTTGATCACCGATTTGTCATTATTTAGGCGAAACAGCCTTGGCGGAGGGTTTCCTGGCTGTAAATTGCTAATGATTTCATAAGTTCTTTTTTTTTTTTTTACACGCATATATTTAAATTATCACGTCTGACGGCAGGTACCTGTGGTTCAGGAGTGACACTTCCAATTTCCACGTAACCAAATCCAAGATCAAACAAACCATCTATGGCTTCACCATTTTTATCAAATCCTGCTGCCAAACCAATGGGATTCGTAATTTTTCTCCCAAAAATCTATGATAAACTCGAATCAATTATCAATGTCCGCCGTATAAACGCGCACCATAAATGCATACATATCACCCTACCCTCACAGACAATTTTTCATCATCCGGGACCCTATCTTTTGCGGTTAATCGCCATTTTGCCATCCACACGGCGAGCTTGTGACTCTCCTCAGGGTCAACTACGGTTCTTAATATTGGCATGATAACATATTTATGAATGGATGCCCTTGAATCAAAATAATACTCCAAAAAAAAGATTCCAGAGATGATTCCGGCTGTTCCTAAAATGAAATTTCGTAGTTTAACGGCAGGCGACGGGGACTGCTTCGAAGCAAGTGAAAAAAACTTTGGAGGATCAATTCGACGATAAATCTTGTTTGTTGACAGAGCATCCGATAAGACGGATGGTGTATTCGGCATGGTGAACGAGATTCTGGTGAGTGGGAATGCTCTTGCACGACAGGTAAAGCGCATAGGTCGAAGGGTGAACATAAACGCGAATAGACATAAACGCATCAATTTCACGAGTTCGACAGCCAATTGGAAGCAATGGATCGGGTTCTAAAGTATGCAAGCAGAATATCCGTTACACGATTATGCGTTTACTTTTTAAGACAATTAATTACCATATAGGTTGCAAAATGAAAACTTCTCTTTTTAATTCATTTCTTTGATAGAACCAAATGAATCCTTAGGTTAGTATTAGATAAGTAGTTATACAGCGAACGTCGAGCTGTGTTGAAGAAACGCGTGAAGATTATCCCGTAATATCTTTGCGACTCGTAAATTTCTTTCTATCTTATTCACCCATGAAAAACGTATTAGGAGCACACAATTATATTTGTTTTGCGAGTAAATATTGCTACCTCTAGTTTGGTCGGTACGCGACTTCCAAATTTCTCATTGCGTAAAACGAGTCATTCAATTCTCTTAAATCAAAGTGTGAAAATTTATAACAACACTGAAAACGATTTCCGAATACGAAAAACCCAAATCTCGTTTAACTCCCGTGAAAGTTGTTATCACATTTCGTGAGCGTTAAGGGACTTCTACATTAATTTTTGCATAGAAAAATGTTGACACGGCAAATGCTAGAACGTTTTTCTTTGGTTGTCGGCGGTGCAGCTCTGGGCATTTTTTCCACCATATATTACAGGCAAATATCCTTGCCTTCGCAGCTCCCCGAAAAAGGACCCACCCCACTACCCCTTCTCGCTGAACCTATTCCTTTTGGTTATCCGGGTCTGTACTTTAAGGAAGTATTATGTGAATCGGCTTCTTCATGTGTTAATACGTCTTTGCATCACTGAACAAATAGGGCCGGTTAATGATCAATTGCCAAGAAAAGCCTATTTCGCGTCTTATAATCGAAGATTGCGTCACCCGGATTGGGTGTTGGAGCATATAACCAAAGAATCCCTGAAACGCGGTGAAGACGTGGATCGTTCTAAATCCCCTTTTCGAGAAGATTTGGCGATACCTGAAATGTTTCGTGCAAAAGTGCTAGATTATTTTAAATCAGGATTTGACAGAGGTCACATGGCTCCAGCAGCTGATGCCAAAACTTCTCAGGACGCGTTGGACGAAACTTTTTTGTTGACTAATATTGCTCCCCAAGTTGGTAACGGCTTCAACAGAGATTGTATGCATACTTTAAATTGACTCTCCCTCTCTCTTTTTTTTTTTTAAAAAAATACTTCACTTATCATCTCTTGCGCGTTAAATAATCACTAAAAAAAAATCTTTGTAGATTGGTCTTTTCTCGAAGAATTCTGTAGAAGGCTCGTCACCAAAGAAAATTTCTCGGACGTTTATGTGTTCACGGGACCTGCTTATCTACCACGAAAAGAGGATGGAAAATTTTATGTAAAGTATCAGCTTATCGGGGATCCACCAATAATTGCAGTTCCCACGCACTTTTACAAAATAATCCTGGCGATCAAAGACGATAAAAATAGTTCAAACGGACAATTACGTGCGTTGGGTTCTTTTCTGGTACCCAATCAGCGAATACCAAATAGCGATCCGCTGGAAGATTATCTTGTCCCGCTGGATGCAATTGAGAGAACGACAGGCCTGAAATTCTTTGAAAATTTAGAAAAATCGACGACCATTCCTCTTTGCAAAGCCGTTAAATGCCAACTCGTAGCCAACCCCAAATATGTCCCCGAAGAATTAAGAAATTCGACTTCAGAACAAAAAGCAATTCCGAAACAAAACGAGAAAACATCATGATTTTTTGTCTCCAATGAAATTTCAAGAGTGAGCAAATAAAATATTCTCTCAAATTATGTTACATAACCCGTGAAATACATTATTTTATTTTACATTTTACGATTTTTTTTTTCTTTTAACCTTTAATATATAGTATCGTAAGATACGCTTAATAATAATAATAATAGAAATGAAGTAAAAGAGAATTATAAATCGACGTCAAAATATGACGTTGTCAATACTTTCTCGGAAAAAAAAAAAAAAGAAAAAAAAAAAAAAAGAAAGAAAAAAAAAAAGAAAAAAGAAAAAAAAAAAAAGAAAAAAGAAAAAAAAAAAAATTTACAACCCATTCCCTCATATCCCTCATATCTATACTACAAATTATATATATGTATCAGTTAAAACCCACGTATATACATCTCAGTGTCCTTAGCCTACGAGCCATTTCTCATAACCTATAATTGCACATAATCCAGTCATGTGACTTCATTACTGAGTTAACGTTTTTACAGCGTTATGTGTGACATCATTTAATGGCCGGTGTTGTGACCGTTGCTGCGTTTTCCAAAGAACGTAATTCGCGTATTTCACGATGAAATCAACTTGCCTATAAGAAATAATAATACGCGATAAGCAGGTGCTTCATTAATAAACAAATGAGAAGGACGCATGCTGTGTTGTTTCAATATACGTACTGCATCGTTTCAATCGCTTTTGGGCTTCGTCTCATTCTTACTAACCGAATTGCACGGTCAGCGTCGAAACAGAAAAGTGTTCGAAGTAACCAACAGCACGCCACCAACCGAGCGCGGACAACACCAGATTAAGAAATTGTTAAGCCACAACACCCAAAAAAAAAAAAAAATAAGAAATAAAAATCAAGATACTAACCACCGCGACAATGAGCCAAGACCTTTCGACCTTGTTGCATATGACGTTCCATTTCCATTGCTACATGATCCATTTGGTCTAATGTCTCGGGGCAAGCACCTTCAATCATTGGTATCCTGAAATTACAGTATATTATATATACACGTATTAGAGCAAATTAATTGCGGGTCAAGATGTCGACAATATACTACCTGACTATTCGCAAGTTATGTCTCCGCGCCAATTCACAGTATTCCGGCCACGGCGCTCCTAAGAATGCTAACTCTTCGTCATTAAGACAGCTGAAAAAAATATACACAATTGTATATTAGAATTCGTCGGGAATCTCACCCATTAAAAAAAAAAATTCACACCACTTACCAAACGACCATTGATATATCTAAAGACCTGATTCTCTGAAAGTCTAGATCCAAATCTCGATCGATCTTTGCTCTTCCTCTCACGGGACCATTTAACCTCACTTTTTTGCCCGGGCATGAACTCAATGCAAGATTTCCATATGCGATCGCTCTACGGTGCTGTTGAGTAGGCATGCCTCTTCTGTTTGAATGCAAACTTTGAACCGACCTTTCCGCGGTTTCATAATAATGTTGGTAAAGAGATGCTGTGGTATATATGTCAAACAGGTCTATTTTTTGCGGTAAAGGTTCCAAGGAAATGCCATCAACCAACTCCTCGGGAATTATCCAGCTGACGCTATAAAAATTAAAGGTATCAAACAAGATACGTGAATTTCGACATTTCTTTAGAGTATGCTTCACCTTAAAATTATGAAATGACCTTATACTCACTTAATGGGATGAGTTGTTGAAGTTTTGAGACTAACTCTGGGCGGAGACTGACAAGACGCGGTCATCGTTACCCTGTAATTAAGAGAAGGAACTGGTGGCACTGTATCTGAGGAAGCGGTAGTGGATGTCATTTTTTCTTGCTGTTAGACGTTAACAAAATTACAATATGTAATTATTTGCAGTTAGAAGTTGGAGACTTGGGACTTTGGGAAGGGTGTGATTGCAATTTTTTTACAAAAGGTCGTAGTATGCCATATTTATATTCCTAACAGAGACAGACCTATTGTGATACGGATTATTGTTCACCTGAGGCTTTCCAATTATAGGGATGTACGTACGTATATTTTTAGAAGAACGGCTTGATAAACATATGTTACGTTCACACATAGATATGTACACAATACACCATGCTTTGTTGCGTCTTAGTTAACTAATTGGTCATTAAAAAAAAAAATTGTGCGACGCACTGTATTTCTTGTAACCTATAGAACATTGTTTAAACAAAATACAGTATGCATCATATAAAATTATATGGTTTAGCTTTCCCATTATCCAATTAATAAATACTTACTGTATATTTAATTTATTTAAGTAGAAAACTCGAGATAATTATGTTTCTAAAGAACTTGGGAAATTAATCAATAAAAATAAATAAACAAACAGGAATAAATAAATATTCATATTATATTGGCTTTTTTTTTCTTTTAACCCGTAGTCAAGATCTTTTATTGTAAAACACTTGAAGAATATAACAATTTTTGAATTAAAAAAATGTATCTTACAATAACAATATATAAAAATTTATTAGATAATAATCTATCTTCATATTTAAATTTATTATAATATTTTTTTTTTAGATTGATTTGAAAATAATATTATATTTCTTCATAAATTTGTATTCAATTTTACAATAATTATTATTGGTAATTGAATTATTAAATCTAAATTATATAAAATATTAAAAAATATAAATTTATTATTAGAAATATTTCAAATTTTATTATAATAATAATATAAAATGATTTTAACTCTTTTTTAAAAAAAAATTTTTTTTATAATATTTTTTATACAAAATTTAAAATAACAAAAGAAAATAATTTTAGCAACTTTTTTTATGTAAAATTCAAAACAATAAAAAAATTAATTTTATCTTTAACATTTTTTTTAAAAATTTTTACAATTTTCTTTTATACAATATTTAAACAACAAAAACTTTGATTTTTTTTAAATCTATGATTAGACTAACACTATTTGTTTATTAATCAATATGAAAACTAATAGAGATACAGTATATAGGACAATTATATTATGGTTAAACTAAATCTCATATTAATATACTCATCAATAACTTTCAATTCTTAAAAG